CCCCCCCCCAGGGAAAGGAAGACAGAAAACAGGAATCCTAAAAGCAGCTATCAACTCAGCGTCTACTGAGAATGCCCAGTGTGGCCCCTGTTCTCTTTGTGTTTCCACCCCCAGAACTGAACACAAGGCAGGGCACACAGTAGGGGCTCAGAAAGTGCCGTTGAATGTAAAAATAAATAAGCCAAACCAGCTGACTTGTTTGTGCTATTGTACGACGCCAGTGAACAAAACAGAATGTACCAGAGGAACTGGGGTGCTCTGCTGGTTCCCTCCATCCTGGTGTCAGGAACCCAGGATTTTATGTATATAGTAGACATTAACTTTCAAAATAAAGACAAAGTGCTCTTAAAACACACACTGTGAGCGGGAGCATCAAGAAAGTAAGACACTGTACAAGGGGCCAGTGGACTCATTCCCTGCATTCCACCAAGTCAAAGAAGGGGGTAGGACTGTGTGAGCTATTTGAATGATGTGAACTCCTATGGAATCCCCTTAGGTGTTGCCTGTCCTCTAAGTCCTGTCCCACTCCAATTACTGCTGCCAAGAGGCACCAATAGAATGGCCCTAAACTCTTCCTTCATCAGCTCGAGGCTGCTCAGGTCCCCTAGTGGCTCCCAGTACCGGCCTCATTAACCCCAAGCTTCCATGTGTGCTCTCCACCTCACCCACAGACACACCAGGACCCAGTAACTGTTTCCCAAAGGCGAGCTCCCTGCAAACAGCTGTCCTCAGGCTCCACAGCGCCCGAGCCCTCACTGCTTCCAGCAGGAAACCAGCGCTCTGCTCAGTCCTCAACCCCTTTCCAGAAAGAGCAAGAGAACAGAGCGGCAGCTTTTGCAGGACCCCTCGTCTGGAACTCTCCAGGGCTGCACAGGGCAGGAGGAAGGTATGAAACGGGGTGTGTGTGGTTGTTTAGGTGGGATAGAGCTACTCTAAGCAGGCAGGCAGGTGTGCACACACACATCACACACACTGCACACGCACACACACACCATGTACATATACAACACAATGACATACTACACATCCCGCACAAACACACCATACACACATCACACACTAATACACAACACACATATGTACACATGTGGGCACACACACAATATACACACCACACACGCATTCCCACACACACACTCACATATTGTTTTCTGCTAAAGGACAGGCGGGGAGCAGAGCAGCTGGAAGGATTAAAGGCTCAGCTGCTAAGAAAGGCTGACTTCCGGGGAATGCCACCAAGCCCCCGCCCGGAGTAGTGAGAAACACAGCAGGAGAGAAGTGGCAGGAGGCCCCTGGGAGAGATGGGAATAAACAGACTTTCAGACTCCGTCCTGAAACAGCAGGAGTGCGAAGTCCCAAAGGAGGTGCTGGGGAGGCCAGAGTGTCAGCGGGTGAGACAGCACCTGGGCCCCAGGCCAGACATCTTTACACCTTGCTCCAAAGTACAGGTCCCTCTTAAAGTTCAGAATACATTTGAAGAAAATGTTAAAATTTCACTTCGTCTGAAACGCTAGACAACTGATAAAAGTCAAGTCCAAAAGGAAACTTTTTTACCCCAGTTTTAACCGACTTTGCCAAAAGAGGCCCGGGCGCTGGCCTGTTAAACCACACACACGTAGCAAGTGTGCCTGAGAGCGATTCCCAGAACTGCCAGCATAACCCAGGAAAACCCTCCTGGACCAGCAGCTGCATCCGCCTCAAAGGGGCTGTTTATTCAAAATGCAGATGATCAGAACTAATTTCTAGAGATGAGGGCCCTGAATCTGCATGTTTAACAAGCTCCCCTGGTGAGTGCTTCTTAAGACATCTAAGATTTGAAAACCAGCTCTGTTCCTGGCAGCTGCCTGGCTCATTCAGGTGGCTGTCCCGAGGCACCTCAGGCTTCCCAAACACAACCACAGGACAACAGGAGTAATGCAAACACTGCCCTGCCGCCCTTCTTATAGTGCCTTGGGGGGTGTCTGACTTACTTATCCCTGTGCTCACCTGCGGAGTCAGGCACACAGTAGGCACTCAGTAAGGACTGCTGAAACCAAATGGTGGAGGGTCGAGGGTAGGCTCACAGATGGCCATTTTACCTCTTTTGAAATTGTATTAAGCATTTGTTTATGAGCAGTCCTGTGGCCTCTGGAAGGGGGCTGCTGGCTGGCTTGTGGCTTCTTCCTCCAACACAGGCAGTGACTATCTCCTCACTGGAGTCACGGAGGGAAGAAGTGTTCTACCCTTTTGGAGGCCATAGTTTCTGCTGGGACCCTCACCCAGCAGGCTTTGGAAACTGTTCTGTCAGGTGCTATGTCCTTGCCTAGGTGCTAGGCTGATCAATAAAGTTTTCTCACCATTTGCCTGGTGTATGGGGTGTAGATTCCTGGTTTGCACTCCAAATGTACTGAGTTCAAACTGGGGAAGGGGCCCAAGAGTGTCAATTTGAAGCAAATACCTCCCATGATCCTAAGCCTGAAGTCCAGAGTCAGGCACTTCCACAAACTCTGGTTTAAAAGCAAGCATGGTGACCATCCAGCTTCATTTCTGATCTTCTCTTTTTGATGGAATCTTTTAAAAGGATCTTTGTATGGATGTTTGTCATCTGGGGCTTGGGGGTAGGAGTGGGCGTGATGGAAGCTGCCCAACTTCTGAGCCCACCCGTGTGAGTCTGTGGTGGGCAAGCCCTGCCTCTCATTGTGAGGCCAAACTGTGCCCTGGCAGGTGACTCGGGCTCAGCCAATCAAAGGTTTGCTCCTGGGCTTATGCATGGAGCAGCACATTGAGGCAGAGGCTGTTTCTCATTCATTCTGCGGTGCCAGCAGCCACATTCAGTCCCATCATGGTGACAACCATAGTCATACACAAATCAGGGGCTCTTTTGCATGTCCTGAGGCCTGCTTCCCTGGGCTCCTGTCACTTCTCTGAGCCACCCAATACAATTATCCAGAGTTGGCATCTATCATTTGGAACAAAACATCCCGATCTTTAACAAATCTCAGAGGTAGCTCTAGGTCCCCCTGCAAAACTTATTTCCTTCATATTTTAAACAGTCAACAAAACAGTGGTTTAAAGTTTTACTATTTAACCTGTCTTCTCATGCACTTCTTTACATCATTGTCTGAGACTCACAGAAACAGTCCAGCATGGAATCATAAGGAAGTCCATAAAAAATATTATGAGACACACTAAGAAAATAAAACAAAACTACAGGGCACCACTGTGGAGACAGCGGGGCTGGAGCCTGGAGTCCGGCTTACTGAGCCTGACAGTTGCTTACCTTCTCCACGGTTTCCTGTGCTCCCCTGTGATACGGGGCTTGGAATGGTGGTGCAGGCTTAGGGACAGAATAGGTTCAGCACCTGGCACACAGCTGGCAGCCAGTAGAGGCTCTGTACCCCTCCTGTGAGCAGCAGTGCTCTCACCCTGAGGAGACAGGGCAGCTCCAAGGATATTGAAAGAAGACTCACAGTGGGTGAGAAAAGTAAGTAGCTGAAGCATCTGAAGTTACCGATAGTCAAGTCTGCCAACCACACACAAAAAATGCTATTTCATATAGTTCATCCTAACACAGGACCGCAGTTGTCGGTTGCAGTGCCGGGCGGGGGTGCATTTAAGGACCCCAGCCACACACCTGATCCTACAAGGGCACCCAGCGCCGCAGGACCCGGGTGGGCGCTGAGCGAGGACCGGGCAGCAGCCCTGGGGCTGCAGGCGCCACCAGTTGCTGCAGGAAGCGGGCCGCTCCCCAGCCTTTCCCGCTAACCCGCCGCCGCCCTCGCCCGCTCCCCTCCCGGCCTCTCCAGGCTGCGGGACACAAAAGAACCGCGGCGGCCGGTCGGCGGGAAGATTCCCCGGCTCAGCCCCCGGCGGGGGGGGCGCCGAGAAACTTGGCTGCCCGCGCGCGGGCTCCGCAGCCCGGGTTGGCGCTGACCCGGTCTACGGGGAGAAGGGGGCCCCCCACCCAGCGACCGGATCCCTCGCCCCTCGGAGAGAGCTTTCGGGAAACTGACCTCGCCGACTCCCCCTCGCCGCCAAGCTCTTCCTCTGTCCACGCTTCCCTTTGTTGTCCCGCCGGCTCCGTACCGCCGGGGGCGCCCCAGCGCCGAGTTCTGGATCCCGAAATCGCCGAAGGTCCCCGCGCGGTGCGCCCACGGGGGTAGGGGGCTGCTCCTCGCGGGGTAGCGAGTCCCTCGCGGAGGCGGGGGCGCCCTTGCGCTGCGCCCCAGAGCCCCCCGCTGAGGTCGCTGGCACAGCGCACTCCATTGGGCAAACCACAGAATGGTGGCCCCTTCCCACGCCCACCGGGAGGCTCGGTGCCCAGCGTGCGCCCGTCCGGCGCCACACCAGCACCCCCTCACCGCGGAACAGTTCCCGAGCCCCTGATGCGCCCCCCTTGGTCTGCTGCCCTTCCGAGACCGAGCCCACGGCCTTGGGGTCTGGGTTCTGATCACGTGCCTGCTCCCACCGCCTGCTCGCGCCCAGGACCTGGGGACCACAGCGGCGGGATCCCCTCCAGTGGATGGAGAGGCGACTCCCCAGGCAGCCCGCAAAGTTTGCGCGCCTACGCGCCCTAGCGGGGCGCCCAGACCACAGTCGCCCACCTTGTTGCAGCCCCTCTGGCTCCCCGGCTGCTCTCGGGGTTCCCATCACCTGCAGGGGTGTCGGGGCGGGGTCTCGGGGCGCTGGGAGGCAAGGGGTGCAGAAAGAGCCGCTCAGTTCCCCGTTCCCCGCCCCCAGCTTTCTAGACGGGACGCGCTCACCGCCGCAGACGGTTCCGCAGATGGTTCCCGGGCTCCGGCCACTCGCTGCGCGCCCCTGTCCAGCTCCCGCTTTGGCCAGCGCTGCCCTCACCCCTCGCGGGCCTGCTCTCCGCCCCGGCTCATGAATGATTTATGTGGGGACCACCGGGAAGGCTTCCGGAAGGCTCTGGGAGGAGACAGCAGGAAAGGCGTCTGCCCTGGAGGCGGAGAAGGCCAGGGACCCGGGGACCTCTGCTCCGCCAGGACGGGACCTGCGGTGGAGCCGCCTGTATGTCTAAGTTTCCTTAAACGTTCTCACCTGCCCCTGGACAGCTGCGTGGGCCAGGTACCTGGTGGGGACTGGGCTGGGTGTTTCAACAATAGCTAAGCCTGGGGTTCCCTACGCACTTCCATTGGTCCAGCAGGGCAGTGTCGCTGGGATGCCCCCGGGCACCTCTGGCACTGGGACTGCAACCCTTTCCTGAGGCAGGAGCCCTGCTCACCCGCTCCCTTTCTCACAGCCCCCACCCTCCTGCACCCAGGCAGAGCCCTCTGCTTGGAGTGCCACTGCCCTTCTAGGGACTCCCCCTCTACCTGCTTCCAACTCAGGCCTGCCTGGGTGGGCTCCCCCCAGCCGCTGCAGACGCTTTCACTGCCAGCTCCCAACAGGCTTTTAAAAACGATTTACCAAAACAAAACCCAAATCATTTGGTTCCTTAGTCTGTACCAATCACAATGCTAGTGGCTGGAGCTATATAACATGGCATAAAGCAATATTCTTCCACATATGCATACAGGCATCCGCTGACCAGGGAACACACCTGCCTTAATCAATCAGTTCGCATCGGCCCCTCCCGGCTGTGAGTTGCCGGCCATCCCAACAGTCCTCACTGCTGCCAGGCTGGCCTTGCAAACCTTCTGCCAGGAGGAATCGTTCCCTCTTCTAACTGCACTCACCCATGTGCATCTCACGTCTCACACATCACCCCTATCTTGAACTGAGAACACTGTCTGAGAGGAAAAATAAGATGTGTAAAGAAAAGTGCCTTCAAGATGTAGCTAGTTCACAGTAGGTGTTTAACGTCTGTAACATAGATAGGCAGATGGATGAACAGACGGACCGTAGAATGACGGACAGAAACATTAGCTCTTTCACTTATCCCAGAATCTATCAAAACAGGTGCAGGCAGAAGCATCGTTTGATTTAAAGTTTAAAGTCATCCTGAATGTGCATATTTCCAGGACAACAGATACAAGGTTCAGGAAGCTTCTGAAAGTTACACTACAGGCACGGCAAGGGTAGGCGGCACCCAGAGGCTTCTCGGCAGGCCTGATGTTTCCCCCCCTGAAGCCCCGCGGGCCAGGGGCCTCTGCTTGAACACTCCCGGAGGCCCAGCGCTCCGGCTCAGAGGCGGCCCCGCCGGGTGGGGCCCGCAGGTGAGCTCTCCCTCCTGAGAGCAGCCAGCTCCCACCTGCCTCAAGGCTTGGTCCAGAGCCTTTCATCAGTGGGATGCTGGCTGCTTTATCTCTCTGAGCCTCAGTTTCCTCGTCTGCAAAATGAAGAGGATTATTAAGCCTCACAGGGCTCATTTTTATTTCTGATAATACTAATACCGACAACAGTAGCAGCGGAGAGCACTAATGTTTAATGGGTTAGCTCTGAAGGAGGCACTGTGCTGAGTGCTTTACGTGTGTTATTTTATGTAGTATTAGCAACAGCAGCGTCATATTCTCTCTCCATCTTAAAGAGGCAGCTAAAATAATTTACCATTTGTCCAAGGTCACAGAGCTAGTAAGTGAAGCACCGAATTCGAACCCAGATCTGGCCTCCAGAGCGCTAACACACCAGGACACCCAAAGATAGGCAGAACCCTCATGGCCTGTGCTCCCCCGTAGACAGTGGAGTGCGGCCCTGAACGCCTCACCTANCCCCCGTAGACAGTGGAGTGCGGCCCTGAACGCCTGCCTCACCTGTTTTTATCCATTTTCATTTCCCCCAACACCCACTCTACCTAGACCATCGTAGGCATTCAATCAGTGAATGGAGAAATAAACCCAGAACACAACATTAAGATCTGGTCCGGGCCGTCTTGGGCAGACAGTGACGGGACCCCATGATTTGTTCGGTTCAGTTTGGCTTGGAGCCCGAATCCCTCAGTCCTGCATTTTTGGCACAACTGCATTTCTATGTCATTTGTTATATGCAAGGATAGAGGGGTGATGTTATTTCCATACACACACAGTCATTAGATACAAAAATCTAGTCTCCCTTTCTGAAACTGCTCCTCATTTTTCCTGCCCAAATGAAACACAGACATGAGGCACCGTGGCATCCCAGCTAGAGGCAGGAGATTCACTCAGGCTCCGTCACTAACTGCCAATGTCGCTCAGGGGCCCGGTAGGCGGCTCAGTGACCACCTGGGGCAGTGACAGAGGACACTGCTGTCATCACAGGAAAGTCTGTTGGGTGGTGCTGGGTCAAACAGTGAACCACAGTAAAGAAAATTACACTATGACTGGGGTAAGAAGACTGAGTTTCAGCAAAGTCACCAGGGTTCTGTGACGTTCGAAATGAAGTGCCGATGGAGACAAACTATCGCCAGAGTGCCCAACACTCGGTGCTCCAACAACCCGAAGTCTTTGACAAGATGTTCCTTATGCAGGACTTCGGGCATTTTTCTCTGAGTCACTAAGACTAAAACAAAGTAAGTCAGCGAGTATGCTGCTCTGGTTAACCTGACAACCTCCTCCACAAACAACTACGTTTCCAAAAACTGACCGACAAAGACGGCAGTAAATGACCCTTCGGAAAAACGGGACTGGGGGCTTCGGGTCAAGACGGCACGCGGGGAGATGTGGTGCTCGCGCCCTCCCACATCGAAATCGNAAACTGACCGACAAAGACGGCAGTAAATGACCCTTCGGAAAAACGGGACTGGGGGCTTCGGGTCAAGACGGCACGCGGGGAGATGTGGTGCTCGCGCGTTCCCGCAGCCACATCGAAATCANCTTCGGGTCAAGACGGCACGCGGGGAGATGTGGTGCTCGCGCCCTCCCACATCGAAATCGCGACTAAACCGCAGAGCCGCCATCCAGGGCCTTTCAGTCACCTGCCGTCTGGCTGAGTGGAAGGCCCACCGCTGAGGACGGGACAAAGCCACCTGGGGACTGGGGGGAGGGGCTGGTCCCACACCCACAGGGGGTGGGTAAAAACTGGGCGGGACATCTTGGCTTAGAAGGCCCCCCTGAGTGAGGAGCCCCAGCCCAGGGTTCCAATGCCAGGAAGGGGGGTCCCCACAACTGCTGCCAGTAAAAACCAGCAGGAGGGGGGCTGAGGCTGGGAGGGTCCCAGTAGCTCCTCTTAAAGGGCCAGCGCACAGACTTACTGGGACTCACTTGCTCTGAGCTCCAGCACTGAGGCAGCAGCTTGAATGGCACCTGGGACATATGAGAAGGAACTGGATTGCCTGGCATCGGGGCGAGGGAGAAGGGGAGGTTTTGTCCCAGACAGAAGTGCTGGCAGAGGCCCTTGTCCCTTTTCTGAGCCCTCCCGCCGCAGAGCCCACAGGCAGGTGCCACGTCTGAGTCTCCACCAGCCTGGGTCCCACTGCCGGGCCCGCCCTGGTGACTCCCTGAGACCCCTCCCCTCCCAACTTGTGGGCCCATCCAAGCTGTTTCCAGTGGCTTTTCCATACAAATAGCTTGTCTTGGCTCATGCTTCAGGGTTTCCTAAAGTCTCTCAAACAAGCAGCATCTGGACTTGGCATGCCTAGTACCTACCTCTCGCTAAGCGGCCCCAGGCCTGGCACTAGCGGCAGCCAGCCTTGGTTCGCAGCTTGGCCTCTCCTGGGCACCTCCAAGCCCAGCACAAGTAGCAGCCATCTGCAGATTGCTTTGTAGCTCATGTATGGTGTCAGATGGGTCTGAGATTATCAGGATAATCACTTAGTAAGTTATATAAATGTCTAATCACTGGGAGGTACACCTGAAACTAATATAATACTGTATGTCAACTGCAATTGAAAAATAAAAAGTGATTAAAAAAAAAAAAGAATATGGAACTAAAAAGCGTGTGCATTATTGCCTTAATTTTAAGGGACCCTCCACTTAATACTTCTATCTGCAATATGTTGGGATTCCTGCTTTCCTTCACACTCATCCACAGGCTACATCATCAAACTTGGATTTTTGACCACCTGAGAAGTAAAAATACTATTGCCTAATTCTGATTTGCATTTCTCTTAGAGCAAGATTGAACATTTTAGAGATATAACAGCAATGAGATTTTACCTTTTCTGTGAACTTCACCCATGTTACTTTATGTGA